TTGATTATATATATACTGATTTCAGAGAGGAAGGGAGAGGGAGAGAGAGATTGAAAGGCCAATGCTGAGAGAGAATCATTGATTGGCTGCCTCCTGCACACGCCCCTCTGGGGATCAAGCCTGCAACCTGGGCATGTGCCCTGACTGGGAGTCAACCGTGACCTCCTGGTTCCTAGGTCGACTCTCAACCACTGAGCCATGCCAGCTGGGCTATGCCATCTTTTTATGCCTCTGTTTTGTGGTGCTTGTCACGATTTGACTGGCTTTTTTGTTACTTACGTGTTCCCTGGAAGGGCAGGGGTGTTTGTATGGAAGCTCAGGGCAGGTGCTGTGACCTGGCCAGCACAGTCTCCTCAGCAGGCAGCTAAGAGCCCTCCCCTCCTGCAAGGCAGAGTAAATGAACTGGAGAGCATTATGCTAAGTGAAATAAGCCAGTCAATGAAGGAAAAATGCCACATGATCTCACTCATTCATGGATAATAGAGACCATTATAAACTTAGGAACAATAATGGATACAGAGGCAGAGCTGCCTCGAACAGATTGTCAAACTGCAGCGGGAAGGCCGGGGAGGGTTGGGGGGCAGGAGGGAGGGGGGTAAGAGATCAACCGAAGGACTTGTATGCATGCATATAAGTATAACCAATGGACACAGACACTGGGGGGTAGGGGAGGCCAGGGGATTGTCAAGGGTGAGGAAAAAAAAGGACACATAAGTAATACCCTTTGTAATACTGTAAGCAATAAAACAATAAAAAAAAGTAAATGTGTTTGGTACCAACTTGTGGACTTAGAGAGATTAACAACAGATTTTGGATTATAGCTTCTCCACCCTGTGCTTTGTTTTATCAAGTAGGCTGTTAAATATGATATGATTTTGAGCTGAGCTGAGCTGAGTTAAAACCAGTGAGCAATTATATTGTATTCTGTCCTCATAGACATGTAAAAGGTTTTGCTGGGTATATGGTGTGTTTCTTTTCATGTCATAAATGTTGACTCTGATTATTGACTTTGGATACTTCGCAGACACCAGTTTCATGACTCAAACGAATTGCATCAAAAACACAAAGCTCTGATCTTTCCAGATACTGTTTTCTTGCCTGCCAAAACCCAGACATAAATGGGGAGGGGGAAGGCATTATGTTCACAAGTTAGAGAACTAACACTTCCATATGAGTATAATCTGTTAATATGATTTGTAGTTGGATTATAGTTTTTTTATTTTCATGATTTCATTCAGCAACCATTAATTGAGTAATGAGCATGTTCCAGACATTGTGCTGGGGCCAGTGGAGCCTGCAATCTCGTGGGGAGGACACACAATAACAGTTGTGTGGGCCCTGACAGCACAGAGGAAGGAGTGATTAAATGACAAAGGAGTGGTTCAATGACTCAGCTGAGTACTGCAGGTGAATAGGAACCGACCAGGTTGATTTTGGGGGTAGAGGCGGGAGCAGGAGAGAGAGTAGAGACTGGGAGACAGACCTGACAGTGAGTAGCAAGAGCAGGGAGGTAGGAAGTGACCTGGCTTCAGTACTTAGCTATCAGTTTTTTTAAAAAAATTTTTTATAAAGCATATGTTTATTGATTTCAGAGAGGAAGGGAGAGGGAGAGAGAGATAGAAACATCAATGATGAGAGAATCATGGATCAGCTGCTTCCTGCATGCCCCCCATTGGGGATCGAGCCTGTAACCCAGGCATGTGCCTTTGACCAGGTATCCAACTGTGACCTCCTGATTCATAGGTTGATGCTCAACCATGGAGCCACACCGGCTGGGCTATCAGTTTTTTTTGTTTTTATTTTTTTTATTTTTTTTTATTGCTTAAAGTATTACAAAGGGTATTACATATGTGTCCTTTCCCCCCCCCTCCCTTGACAATCCCCTGGCCTCCCCTACCCCCCAGTGTCTTATGTCCATTGGTTATGCTTATATGCATGCATACAAGTCCTTCGGTTGATTTCTTACCCACCCCACTCCTGCCCTCCCACCCTCCCCGGCCTCCCTGCTGTAGTTTCACAGTCTGTTCGAGGCAGCTCTTGGGCTATCAGTTTTATTTTTAATAGGATGGTGTAGAACTAAAATGGCTCAACAATGAAAATTAAGTCCTGTCTTTCCTCTGACCCCCAGCCATGAAAGTCCTCTCCCTAGAGACAGCCACTGTTACACTTTCTTGGGTAAATCTTTTCACAGAGTTTTGCGGCATTTATAAACCTGAGATCGATTTTCTTTTTATCCCCAGGCAAAAGGTAAATGCTGTACAACTGGTTCTGCACCTTGCTTTTTCCCCCACTTAATGTATTGGAAGTAGTGTTGCTGTATTCTTTTTAATATAATGGCTACAGACTCTGTTATGTGAGGGGACCACAATTTATTGAGCCAGTACCCTTTGGAAGGGACATTTAGGCCTTTCATAATAATGTTGTTATCCATCCCGTGAAGTACATGGGAATAAGTCAGCTGCAGCCACAGAGAGTGGAGCTGAGGGTTGTAAATATATTCACCTCTTACTTCAGGTTCAGTTAACAAACAAAAAGCCAGGCATATTAGGGAAAGAACCCAATATAATTTCAAGAAATTAATCATTGAAATTACAAACTCAACCAGTAGGGTAAAGTATTGAAGAGAGAATTGGTGGACCAAAGGATGAATAATCGGAAGTAATTGTTCGGGAAGTTGGGATAGAGAAGCAGAAGGAAAAGATATCTACATGTTGAAGTGCAGCGCAGTGCTGAGACCACGTGAATCAAAGCCACGTGTCAATATGGATGATGCTCACAAGCATATTGTGGAGTGAAGAAAAGCAAGCTACAGACTAATTCAGACCATGTGTAATTCATACCCAGGAGTCAAAACAGTATTGAGTTTTTTTAAATTGAGAAAGTCTTGAATTTTTGCAGCTTTGGAATTCACTATCTTCTTTTTAAAAAATTTACCTTTATTATTGAAAGTATTACAGATACTCCCTTCTTCCCCATTGCCCCCTCCCTCCCACTCCCACAACCCCCCTCAGGCCTTCACCATCCTATTGTCTGTGTCCATGGGTTATGCATATATGCATACAAATTCTTTTTATATATATATATATTTTATTGATTTTTCACAGAGAGGAAGGGAGAGAGATAGAGAGAGTTAGAAACATCGATGAGAGAGAAACATCAATCAGCTGCCCCCTGCACATCCCTCACCAGGGATGTGCCCGCAACCCAGGCACATGCCCCCGACCGGAATCGAACCCGGGACCTCTCAGTCCGCAGGCTGATGCTCTATCCACTGAGCCAAACCGGCTTCGGCATATATATGCATACAAATTCTTTGGTTAATCTCTTTGCACCCATGCATTTATCCCTGCCTTCCCTCTGAGATTCATCAGGCTGTTCCATGTTTCTGTGTCTCTGGATCTATTTTGTTCATCAGTTTATTTTGTTCATTACATTCCACATATAAGTGATATCACATGATTCTTGTCTTTCTCTGACTGACTTATTTCGCTTAGCATAATATTCTCCAGATCCCTCCAAGCTGTCTCAAAGGGTAAGATACCTTCTTTTTTACAGCTGCATAGTATTCCATTGTGTAGATGTACCACAGCTTTTTAAATCCATGCATTATGGGGTTTTTATTGTTTTTCTCTAATGACAACTCCTTTTGGTATTGACCAACATGTTGTTTAAAAAGTCTGGTGTATTTTATATTCTTTTAAAGGTTTTAAAATTATTTCATGTTAAGTTGATATTATTAAGAACCTGATTTTTAATACGAATACAATTTTACAACTTGTTTTTTTTTCACAAAAGGCAGCAAACTGCAAGTATCTATTAATACAGGTCAATAATGATGATGATGATGATGATGTAATACTGAGGCAGAATTTGGCTTAAAACTCTAAGGTTTTCCTAGATTTTGTATATTGTTTATTCAACAATGCCTTGTGAATTCTCATATATCTTGGTGATAAGAGACATTATAAATATATACATAGAATATGCAAACATCGCTTACCTTTTTCTCATGTAACTTTCTCCTTCAATGACAAAATGGCATAGGGGAACATTTTACCATTCTATCTTTTTATTATTGCTAGCAAAGAACTGAATATAGAGAGATGTCTGAATTTTTCCTCCTAAGAGAGAAATGTAGAAAGTGGTGGTTATTTGTGGTGTGTGAGTTTTTTTTCCACATTTCACTCACTTTTCCTTGGGCATGTGTGACTCATGTCCAAGATCAGGGGAACAACATTCCTTTCTCACTCATGGAATTGAATGCTTATATACGACTTTATTGTGTGTGTGTGTGTGTGGGGATTCCTAGTGGAAAAACCTTACTAAGGAGAAATGAGACTTAAAGACTTGCAGGTCATTATGTTATCTGTATCATAGCCACAAGCCCTGGAAGTTGACTGCATAGTGCATAGTCCCTGGATCATAACTGCAAAAATGTGCACTGTGGTGTTTAGCTTCCCAAGGGATGTAATTACTTTTTCCATGATACCTAGTCCTTGAAATGACCTAAACAAAACATTTCTTTTTATCTTCTTCCTCTGGTACGTGGCAAAGCATATTGTATTTGTTACAACTAGAAATTCCTACAGTGCAGCCCGGTCCTTGTTGGCAGATGGCAGCTGGACTGGCCTGAGGGCTGTTGCTGGTGCAAATCAAAGAGCTCAGAGGTTCTACCCTTGGCAGAAAAAAAAAAATTGCTTCTTATTATCCCATCTTCCTTCACTAAAAGCCTGAGAAATGACATGCGATCAGTTGTTAAAAAGTACTCATCGCCATAATAACCATGAAAGATACTGTCCTACCTTGTCCTCCTGGTGGCTGAGGGATGGTTAACCCTTTTAAAGGATTGTGCAGTTGCTCCTAAAATACATACCCGGTGCCTGAGCTTTAAGATGACTTCTGAGTTGCTTAGTTGTCGTAAATCACCCATGCCATCATTTCCATGCATTCTCTGTCCTTTCACAGGCCTCATGTGTGTTTTTTTCCCCACTCTGTTTCAGGGCTCATCGTCGGGGTGATCCTGAGGTACGGCACCCCTGCCACCAGTGGCCATGACAAGTCCCTCAGCTGCACTCAGGAAGACAGGGCCTTCAGCACATTATTAGTCAATGTCAGTGGGAAGTTCTTTGAATACACCCTGAAAGGAGAAATCAGCCCCGGCAAGCTCAACAGTGTAGAGCAGAATGACATGCTGAGGAAGGTGAGCGGGGGACACTCAGTGGTTGTTGTCTGACGTGGTTTTTGACTTCCAGTTTTGTCTTGATCTTATGGAGAGAAACCCTTTTAAACTCCTGGAGCATAGGTGGCATCCCTGCCTCTCCATTTTCCTGGGAAGCTTTGGGGTTATAATGAAGAGAAGAAAGAACCATATTTGAACTTGAGCCTTTCAGCTTTGCGAGGTTCAGTGGCTGACTTGGGACACTGATGGGTGTGGTGGGTTTGTACATCCCCATTCAGCTTGTCTCTCCAATCCCCATCTTTTCTTTACTATGTCTTTTACTATGGTTTAGGGATGAGGTTGTTCCTTTCTTAAGAATGGTTTCACTTTCAGCTTGTTTATTCAGAATTCAGAAGTATAATTCTTAGTTCTTCATGATTCTTTGGCCATATCCTATAAATATTGATTGAGAATTCCCTCTCATTAGTGATTGATGCCAATGGCTTATTCTTCAGAGGAAGGATATTTCTTAGAATTTGAATCCAAACATTGGTTTTCATTTGATGTTGGGGCTAGCTAAAATACTCCACAGGAAAAAGGATTCTGTATCTCCTTACTTGGGTGATTTTCAGCGTAAGCAAAAGATGTGTATTTATCCTCATATATTCTAGTACCTTATAGACCTGGGCTTATCAGCAGGAAGGCTTCTGGATAAAGTCTGGGAGATACAACTCGTGGGAGCTCCTTGTAATATGGAATAAGGCTAATTAATGTGTGTGAAGGCTTGCAGTCAAACACAGAGTATAGCCTGTGCTCCAAAAATTAAATTGTTATTGATCTCCAGATCTACCCTAATCCTTAAAGAAAATTATTCTCAACCTGGAGCATTCAATATGCCCATCTTCTCCTTGTCCCAAGTGGCAGTTCTAATGCACTCTTTTCTTTCAACCCTTCATAAGCCTGCATGGGATGGTGTGGGAGTCAAGAAACCCTTGTGCTGCTTCATGCATTACTGGGTGTGGTGACTTCCAGCAAGTGCCACTCTCTTTGGCCCTAGATACTGCATAGGTATTGTCCAAATCCCCTTCTCACTTGGACAGTCCCTGCTTTTCAGACTATTCTTACCTTCAGCAAGAAGATAGAATAAAACATAATTTCGAGAGAACCATTCTCTTTGTAATTAGACTGGTTAACATTTCCTGTTTCTAAAGAGAAATGCTAACTTTGGTTTTAATAATTATAATGATTTAATAATTAATTGAAATAAGAGACAAATGATCTACTAAAATGAACAAATTTTTTATTTAAAGAGTTAGGAAGTTTATAGAATGGTTATGTTTTCTGGATGTGATAAGACTTTGATGTCTAATAATTTCACAATGATTTCCCTGTATCAAACCTACAGGTAATGTTAGTCCCCTTAGAACTGCTGAATTTATGTTGATGTTTAGGAAACCATTAGCATCGCTGGAGACTTTGATCTAGGCCACATCATGTGTCACAGAAGGCTGGCCACTCAAAAGAGACTTAAATTTGGTAGCATTATGTCTATAAATGATTCTGTGAGAGGATCCAGAAAATTAATAAGAATGATGACTGCATCTTTTATTGCAGTTGAGCCTTCATAAAGGTTTGCTAAAAATCAAGCTGTTTTCTTTCTTGTTGAAACACGTTGACCAAAAGCTTTGTCTGAGGTCTCAAAATTGCACTGTACTATCGTATAGTAGTATGTATTAAACAGCAGAGCAAGAGTAGAACTCAGAAGTGCTATGTGGACAAGAACACGTCAGCCCACAGGGGAGCTGTGGCTTCTCTTCTGTGATGAGCTCATGCTTTTCCACATTTATGTCACGGGCTTTAACTATTCACCCTTTAGCCAGTGGCTTAAAATCTCAAGCAAACATCATAGCACCAATTGGTATTAACCTAAAAATGGGCTTTTTTCCTTTTAAACTTTTAGGTAACGTTTGACCCAGAGGTCTTTTTCAACATTCTGCTGCCTCCAATTATTTTCCATGCTGGATACAGTTTGAAGAAGGTAAGAGATTTTTGCCAGTATTTCTTTTTTTTTTCAAGCTTAAAAATAGTCATAAATTATCCACAGATAACAACATAATGACATTCTTGGGGCAAATGATCATAAAAACAAAAGCTTTGTATAGTTGAAAAATGAAATATATCATACTGTAAACACATTCCAAACTATTGCTCATAATAGTACACGTGTGTGTGGTTTATAAGGTAATGCCACAAAGTGGGTCTGCTGTACCTGTACCAATTACCTTATGGAAACTATGGAAAGAATTCCCACGACAAACAGATTTCTTGCTGGTTGACCTTTTAATAATGTTATTGCTTGGTTTAAAGCTTTAGTTTCTCTTGATAGGTAGAAAGGCTTTAAATTATGTAAGGAGTATGATTTTTTGCCAGTATTTCTTAAAGTATGGGGATCTCTGTGTTAATTCACCTGCATAATTTTCTAGTTTTTTACTTCTCCCAGATTGCTTATTACTGTGTTCTGTACCCACTCAGAGACTATAGTTGACTCATCATCAGTGATTCATTTTTGTTTTAAAATCTGGAACTGTCATACATTGCCAGTGGGAATGGAAAATGGCAGAGTCGTTCTGAAAAACAGTTCCTCAGTTTCTTATAAAACTGAAGTTGAAATTCCCATAGGACCCAGCAATTTTATTCCTGAGGATTTATCCCAGAGAAATGAAAACTTATATTCACACAAAAACCTGTATGTGATTATTCATAGCAACTTTATTGTAATAGCCTCAAACTGGAAACAACTAAAATGTCCTACAGTAAGTGGATGGTTAAATGAACATCCATACCATAGGATACTACTTACCAATAAAATGCAGCAAAACTATTGATATATACAGCACTCTGTATGGATCTCAAAGGCATTATGCTGAGTGAAAAAAAAATCAAATCACAAAAGGTCACATACTGTATGATATCATTTCTGTAGCATTCTAGAAATAACAAAATTATAGGGATGGAGAACAGATTAGTGGTTTCCAGGGATTAGGGATGTGGGAGTGAGAGGGGATGTATGTGACTATGAAGGGAGAGTATAAGGGAGATTTTTCTGATGATACAACAGTTCTGTGTTTTGATGGCAGTGGTGCTTACATGAATCTACCCATGCAATAAAATGACTAGTTTAAGAGGCAAACATCATCTGTCCATAATATATTCAGGCAGCACCCTCATTTGGTAACTGTGGTATGTCAAGTCTTTGAAGGCTTCTCTTCTGAGCAGTGGTTTAAGGACAGTAGGCATTCCTTGACACCTTCTTCTGCCTCAAAGAGAGGCAAGCATTGGGGAAGACCAAAGCCAAGTCCTCAGATCCTCTGTCTGGAACACAGGCTAGAGGATGCCCGCAGCCTTTTGTGTGGCTATACTTCATGGTGGATTCTCGATCCAGGCTGAGTTCTTGTGTCTTGTCTGTCTCTGATGTTGCTCGGCTGTCATGCCTGAACTCTCCTGCCTCTTTAAATTTTAAGATAAAGTGTTCCTGGCCCCTGTTTAATTAGGGTGTTTGGAGGGATTTTGTTCATCTGTTTTTGTTAAGTAGTTCTGATTGTCCAATGAAAATAATTTATGCCTTGAAGAGTAAGAGCCATGGCTCAGGATCGCAAGAACATGGATTTTCCCCATCAAAATATTCCACAGGCGTAATGAGAAGTACAGTGTGTGTGTGTGTATGTGTGTGTGTGTGTGTGTGTGTGTGTATGCGCGCATGTGCGCGCGTGTGTTTTAAGGAAGCCAATAAATGTACAGAGACATTAAGAGAATTACAGCTTTGCCACCCCTTTCTGAATAATTGCTATATCTTGTACCCATGTAAGTATATGAACATATCTATCAACTTGCCCATCCTTTTAAAAAAAATCCTCACCTGAGGATTTTTGAAGGGAGGGAGAGAGACAGAGAGAGAAACATTGATATGAGAGAGACACATCCATCGGTTCCTTCCTGCACATGCCCTGACCGGGGCCTGGGATGGAACCTGTAATCGAGGTTGTGACCCTTCAGTCTGTGGGCTGACTCTCTAACCACTGAGAAAACTGGCTAGAGCAAAAACTTGCCCATTTTAACTACAATTAGTTGTTTCTCATTTCTTCACATCTATCCTTTCCAGGCTCTAAAGATTAATCCAGATGAACATCAGGAGACACCACAGATGCCATGAGCTGATACTTAGGACATTCTGTTTTCTGATACTGAATCAAGCAGAAAGCTCCTTAGGTGGCACTTTCATGCTTTATTAGTTTCAAACTTATATCTGTAATGATCTTCTAAGGTTCTGCCAGAACTGGAAGTGAATAACTGAATCACTAGAGTAAAATGGTTTGGGTTAAATTTATTAAAATAATTGGTCTGCTTATACACATGCACATGTGTGCGCACAGACACACACAATGTAATTTAATATAACTAGTTGCAGTGGTTTTGTCTGAAATTTACTATGACTTTGCTTGCTTGATCAGTGATTGGTAAGACAAAGGATATTTTAAAACCATGATGTTCAAGGGCAAATTCAGGATTAATTTTCATTATGACTTGATATAACGGAAGCAATAAGTAAAGTTTCACTTTTTAGGGACTTTTAATGTGTTTCTAATGCTTACTGTCAAAAATCACAATGTGATTCCTGCTTTTCTGTTTTATTCAGAGACACTTTTTCAGAAATCTTGGGTCTATTCTGGCCTATGCCTTTTTGGGGACTGCTGTTTCCTGCTTCATTATCGGGTAAGGGACTCTTTGCCATGTAACCTAATTAACACATTTTCCAAAGAGATGAGTTCTACGTGGGTCCACAGAGTCCAGTCTTTCCCCCCAGCTTAATTGAGATATAATTGACACATAACATTTTGTAAGTTTAAGATGTATAAATTGTTGATTTTATATATTTATAAAGTGCAGAATGATTACCAGCAAAGCATTAGCTAACACCTCCATCCTGTCACAGTTACCTTTTTTTGTGGTGAGAACATTTGAGACCTACTCTCTTATCAACATTCAAGTATATGTTACAGCGTTATGATCTATAATCACCATGCTGTACATTAGATCCCCAAACTTATTCACCTTATTACTGGAAGTTTGTACCCTTGAGCAACATCTCCCCATTTCCCCACCACCCAGCCGCTGGCAATCACCAGAGTCCAGTATTTTGACATTTATGATAATGGTATATAAGGTCTAAAGCCACATTTCCAGTGTGGTGGCTATTAGCCAAATGTGGCTATTAAAATTAAGATTCATTAAAATGGAATAAAATTATACCTAGTCTCCAGATCTTGGTTTCTAATATCATTCTTCAATAAAAAGAATCAGGGCCCTTTGCAGAAATGGCTGATTCTAGGGCTGAGGCAGCAAATATACAAGAGAAGGATGGAGAATCTTACAATGCCACAAAATAAGGAAGTGCTCAGAAAACAAACATTGGTGATGATGGGAGGCAAGAGGGAGGAAAAGCTGCAGAGAAGTCTAGTAACCATGTCTAAGCTTGCGGTAGAAGGAAATAAAGAGAAAGGTGTGGTTTCAGGAAATATTGAAAAGGTTGATGAAAGAAGCCTTTGGTAAGCAACAAAGGGCAAATCCAGTCTGTATCACAGAGTTACTATAAGTTGAAATAGAACTGTTCAAGTTTCTGGAACAGTCCTGGCACAAAGTAAGCAAACATTAAGTTATACTTACTTATTCTCAAAAGGATTAAATTCTGCAAATAGTTCTTGAGCTCCTAGCTTAGTTAGTCTGCTTGTTCTAGGCACCCAGGATACAAAGACAAGCAAGGGCATGGTTCCGACTATCAAGAATTTTATTATCAGAGTATTGGCTTTATGGTACAATGAGCCTATTCTGTGGTTATTTTTATTCCTGTAACTCCTGCAGCTGCTGCCATTACACACACACACACACACACACACAGAGAGAGAGAGAGAGAGAGAGAGAGAGAGAGAGAGAGAGAGAGAGAGAGAGAGAGAGAGAGAACACGAGAACTAGGCCTTTTAACACTCCTCACTCATCCTAATTTGTAAGCTGTCCTGTAGGAAATGTAATACTGAACTTGGTGGTCCCTTTTGGGTCGCACATTCTGTAGCATAAGGAGGGCTCCTGCTGGCCTGCCAAACCCATGCAACGAATGGAATGCCAGATATGCCAATGGGTACACTGATATTTTAATTGGATATTTAGAGAGTTGTGCCTCTTTTCCCTTCTTTGAAATAATTCTTGGCAGAAAAGATTGATCACTTGAATCTTTGTAGCTAACCCATTTTTTTCCTCTCCAGCTTCATCCAGTCCACTCATTTCCATGACTTTAAACATACTATCTTAGAATCCTGTGAGTTTTATGGCAATTTATTACATATTATGCAGGGTTCTTTCTCTTTCTTTCTTCTCTATTACTCAATTGCTTAAGATGCCTTTGTTGCTAATTGAGGAGCATACTTTATAGTTGTAAATAAGCACAACTTTAACAAATGGGATGTTCAAATGTTTCAGCAAGATGACATTAACTGCAAATAATTACTTGGTGCCAAAGTCGTATTGCACATGTTCCTGGTAAGTGTCCAACCACAGCAGCTGCCTGATGTTTTCATGACTCTTGCAGTACAATATTCTAGTACTACTCTGCTTGCATATTTGCTCGGTTACTCATTTAGGAGAGTTCTCTTTAATTTTCTCTCTGACATAGTTTGCCTTCCCTCCGTACAGAAATCTCATGTATGGTGTGGTGAAGCTCATGAAGATGGTGGGACAGCTTTCGGATAAATTTTACTACACAGATTGTCTCTTTTTTGGAGCAATTATCTCTGCCACTGACCCAGGTATTTGCATAGTTGGCATTTTCATTATGACATTTCGTTAATTAAATCTTAAAAAGTTCAGAGTAATCATGAACTTTTGTTGCAGTAGGGAGACTGTAGTATTAATGTGGAATGGTGGAGGCAGAGACCACTAAGTGGTCTAACAGAGATGACTTTTCCTTATTGTTATTATTACAATTAATTATGATAAAACACAGAACAAAATATACCATTTTAACTATTTTTAAGTGTACAATTCAGTAGTGTTAAGTGTATTCACATTGTTGTCTAACCAACCTCCAGAACTTTCTCATCTTGTAAAACTGAAACTCAAAACTTCCCATTAAACAACTTCCCATTTCCTCCTCCCCCAGTCCCTGGCAAACCACCATTCTACTTTCTGTTTCTGTGAGTTTGACTTCTCTAAGTACCTCATATACGTGGAATCATACAGTATTTGTCTTTTTGTGACTGGCTTATTTCGCTTCGCATAACATCTTCAAGGTTCATTCATGTTATAGCATGTACCAGAATTTCTTTCCTTTTAAAGCCCAAATAATATTCCATTATATGGATTTTGTTTAGCCGTCCATCTGCCAATGGACACTTGGGTTGCTTTCACCTGCATTACCTTTTTGTCTTTCATTTGAGAATGTCCAATTTGTTCATAATTTTTATACATAGACTACCTTCTTTTTCAGTGCTGTGCTTTTGCCTTTCAGGAAACATATCATTTGGTTTAAATAACAGTTATTCTTCGTGAAATGTACACGATACCTGTAGTGAATGTAATTTAATTTGTAAACTCCTTTCGTGCAATGTTCCTGCATGATTTCACATTGTGATGTAGTTCTTATACATAAATTTCTTACCTTGTATTTTTCAAGTCTAGAATTAGTTAAACCAATTCTTAGGAGTTATACCAGTTCTTATTATATGTCTTTCCTCCCCTGCAGCTCAAAAACAAACAAGAAAGATAAAACAAGACAACCTCTCTTCTCCAAGTCAGAACCCATAATTAAATCAGTTTGCATAAAATAGTTACAGCTATTCCTTCCTTTAATGTCAACTATTGAGGGTACACTTTAGGGAAAGAATTTACGGAGAAAAAGCTGATCCTGCCCTAATAGTGGGGATGGAAAGGTCTACGACGTCCTCTAACATTCTGGACAGAAAAGATCTTAAAGATACTAAATTCCCCTCCTACTTCACCGTGCCTCTTGGGGGTTCTCTAGATCAGTGCTATCCATGGATCTTTGTGTGACGGTAGAAATGTTCTGTAACCTTCCCAGTCCATTGTGGTAGCCAGTAGTCACATGTAGCTTTTTTGAAATGTGATAGTGCAACTGAAGAACTGAATTTTAAATTTTATTTTGTAATTTAAATTTAAGTAGCCACACGTGGATAGCACAGCTCTAGATAGTTATGTGGTTCTGAAAAATCTCAATGTTCCCCAAACCATTGACCCCAACACTCTACCAGTAAGTATCTATATTGAAGAGTTGGTTGGTTGAAGCACCCTTGTTTGTGTAAAGAATGTGGGATGTGCAGTTGTAGGCAGAGGTTTTCAATGAAGCCCTGCCAGTCACTGAGCTGGTGGCCTCTCAGTGTCATGTTTCCTCATTTATGAAGTAGGAATAATGGTACCTATTTTCTAGTGCTATTGTGAAGATTAAATGACATAACACATGTAAAACATTGAGCATAGCACCTGCTAATTATATTGGTCTCTAGCCACATCTGAATCAGGCACAGATTTCTCTGTTTTCCTTGTGTGCTTTTTAAAAAATAAATAACAGTTCATCTCTTAACCCCAGCACGTTTCTAAAGAGCATTCTGAAAGTGGCTTTATTATTTTAATACTGTAATGTCTGTGACTATCTCCAAATGTGTCTATTAAGAAATAGATTCTTGCTTAGCTGATATGGCTCAGTGGTTGAGTGTCGACTTATAAACCAGGAGGTCACAGTTTGATTCTCAGTCAGGGAACATGCCCAGGTTGTAGGCTTGATCCCCATTGTGGGGCGTGCAGGAGGCAGCTGATCTATTATTCTCTCTCATCATTGATATTTTCTGTCTCTCTCTCCCTCTCCCTTCCTCTCTGAAATCAATAAAAATATTTTTAAAAATGAAATAGATTCGTCATAAGTCTAGGAAAGGTCTTTGTTTCTCTGGAAATATATTAGTATCACCAACAAGCAAAGGGAGGTTAGTGTAACATAAAGATTACTGAAATTATGTTTTCTGAGCTATTAGTGTTGCTTCATTTAATTGGTTAAAAGGCTTATTTTTCCAGATTATCTTTGTAATTGTTTGTGCCACTTTACTGTGTCCATCCTGTGGTGGAAAATAATAGCAGACATTTCCATGGTACACCTTGTTTTTTGTTTGTTTGTTTGTTTGTTTTTTTGCCTGTGAAGATTGGCACAGTAAGGGTTTGATATAAATTGAAAGTTCTAGGAAATGGAAAGTTAAATCTTAATAAACATGAGGACATTAACTTTAACTGCTTTTTAATGGAAATCTTTCTGAAATGTAGAATGTTTTTTTAAAATTAAAGGTGTTTTACCAGCTTCCCAAAAATCGGTTTGAAAACTTGGACCATCCAATAAAAACTAAAGTATAGAGTTAGAGGGGACCATAAGACCAAATTGACTTCGCGTGTCTGGTACATCAAACAAAACTTCTGGCATTGGGATATGTAGTGGTATTGACTGATACGAAAGAACAAAAATCTTTGTCTCTGATTACTCTGTACTTGGCTTGAGACACCAGTCCTTGGTCTTCCTATTGAAGAAGATACCACATGTGTGGAATGGTGGAAGCTGTTCTGTGACTAGGAGCCATTCTGTGGTTACGTGTCATGGGTGCCATGTGCCATCTTTGTGGACTGTTCCTTTAGATGGATCCACAGTTCAGGAAAGAAAATGAAATTTCCAATCCATAGTGTATTCTTAGGCAGCTACCAAAGAAAATTAATGTTATTCCTTCTTATGAACCATTATAAAGTGACTCCTCTCATTTTAATTTTGTCACTTTTATACCCCTCGAGTCAATCAAGCCTACTCACAGGTTTCAAAATCTATGATTGGTGTCAAAGTGTAATTCTCTAGTGGCATCCCTCAGGCTGGTCAGTATTTCTTTTTGAAAAATCAGAGGCCGAAACCAGGACTACAGGCTTTATTAGAGGAGAAGCACCTGCCGGGCTGCCTCGCAAGGGGAGGACAGCAGCATGTGCAGGGGTGGGCACGCCTTTTGGGGGGCTGAATGGGAAGGGGTGGGGGCTTAGTGTACTCGGCGCCCGCTGATTGGTGGCTTACTGCATTGTCCATATAGAACAAGGGCTTAGGGTATTTGGCAGGCGTGGATTGGTGGTCCAATGTATAGTCCATATAAGGTACCTGGTTAGTCACTCAGGTATTTCTGGGCTGCAGGTTACATCATACTCCGCCCACCAGTTGGGGGAAGGGAGGATCTATCACTTTTTAAAAAAATATATATTTTATTGATTTCAGGGAGGAAGGAAGAGGGAGAGAGAGATAGAAACATCAATGATGAGAGAAAGTCATTGTTTGGCTGCCTCCTGCATGCCCCCAACTGGGTATCGAGCCCGCAACCTGGGCATGTGCCCTTGACCAGAATTGAACCTGGGACCCTTCAGTCCACAGGCTGACACTCTATCTGCTGAGCCAAACCAGCCAGGGCTGGTCAGTATTTCTTTTATCCTTTTTGACTCAGTTCAAATCTGCCACCTGCCTAGTTCTTCTCTCATTCTTTCAGTTACTTGCTCCCACAGCTCTTAAGTCATCTACTTTGTACACAATTCTTACCTCTTTGTACTGAATGTTCGCAAGTGCTAAGTGCTCTTTAGTACACAGATGAAGTGTTCAGGGAAAGTTAGTTGAATGAACAAATTAAGGCTCTTGATACTTCCTTCTTCCCCTATCTGCTATTTTATTATTTTCCCCCCGTGCTTTTTAGATAGCTGTACCCGCAGTCATCAGTCCATTTTAATTTCTCTGTTCTTATCCAGTTGGAAACAGCTGATATGACCCTGTTCTCTGATTCCAAAGGTCCTGCTGGGGGTGGAAGAGTCTGTTTACTCCCCATTTTAGAAGTCACTTACCTAGTCTTCCATCCTCCCCCCCTCCACCCCCCCCCCAGTCATCTTCCTGGTGTTAGCACTCATATTCCTAATCTTGGTTGGGCTCAGCCTTGCCCAGGGGTGGGGGGAATGGGCAGAGTTCCTGTCCTGTTTTTTTTTCTTTAAAAAATATGTTTTTCTCGATTTTAGAGAGAAAGAGGAAGGGAGAGGGATAGAGAGAGAGAAACATCCATGATGAGAGAGAATCATTGATCGGTTGCCTCCTGCATGCTACCTACTGGGGATCGAGCCCGCAACCCAGGCATGTGTCCTAACAGAGAATGGATCCTGTGACCTCTTGGTTCATGTGTCTACACACAACCGCTGACCCACACCGGCCAGGCTCTGTCCTGTTTTATAAGGTGATTGGCGGGAGGAATAAGAAATAAAATTCAGAGCAGTCAGATTCGGATCAGTGCTATATAAATGTTAATTGTTTTAATTATGCAAGCTAGCCTTCATTGTCATGAATATATGAGTTAACTATACTTTTTTAACTACTGATAATTGTAGTATTTCAGGAAAATAGTAAAGTCAGAAGAGCTTTTGAAAATCATGTAGCTCAAACCCTCACTTGGCTAAAATCTATAGACTTTGCTTTGTGCTGAGTTCTCATAGCTAGTGGGTGGCTGTGTTGGATGCCTCCGTGTGCCCCTCTAGAGTTACTCTCCACCCTTCTCCACTTTCTTCTCCATGCCAAGCGGCTGACTTGTATGGAAGAGTTCAGAGGTTCCTTTGCCCTCTGGTTTCCCATTTGATTCATCCACAGGGGAGCACTAGTGTGAGGATGGAAGGAAGGTGGAAATGCAGGGTCCCTGAGGCCTGGCTGCATCCCTTGATTAAAGGTCATAGCTCCTGTCAGGTGACCATCTCTGTA